AATGCTTTTTAAAGATTATTTACAAAACACAACTTTCAAAACTCTAGGTGATATAATACATGAGTAGTGTGTCAAACTACTAGATGCAAAGTTTGAAGAACACACTGAAATGCAGGCTAAATTCATAGATTTTGCTTCATCCAATTAAATCTTGATTTCCAGGCATATACAACCAATTTCTTCAGCTTTTCTGCATATAAATAAAATTGGTACAACCCTTTATAGTTTATAAAATACTTTCACATAGTTGATCCTTAAAACAGATCTGAGAAGAAGATAGTTCAGTGTTATTCATTTGACAAGTATTTATTTATTCAGAACCTATTCTGAAAGAGTACTTTACTCGGTGTTGAATACATAGGAACATACAGTCATATACAAAATAGACATGTTCTTTCTCCTCATGGAGCTAGTTAAAAAGTAAAAGACTGAACAAATGCAGAGAAAGATATATGACCTACGGGCAACCAACAATAACAATTTGACAGAGTGGTTAAGGACTGTCTTTCTCAAGAGGCAATATTCAACTTAAGATCTAGAAGATGAGCAAGAAGCAGCCAGCTGTGCAAAGAGCTAGGCAAAAAAAAAGGGGGGGGGGGGCGGGGAGACAGCATGTACAAAGGCCATGAGGAATTTAAAAGCTTGGTGGGTTAGAGAAGGGCTCCCCAATACAAATACAAGGTGAACCACAAATATAAACCACATTAGTTACTTTAAATTTTCTAGGAGCTATACTTTAGAAAGTAAAAAGAAAGTGAAGTTATATTTCTTATTTAACGCAAACATATCCAAAATATTATTTCAACAGATAGTATTTAATGAAATATTTTACGTTCTTTCTTTAATATTAAGTCTGAAATTCAGTGTATATTTTACACTTACAGCACATCTCAATTTAGACTAGCTACAGTTCAAGTGTTCAACAGTTACATGTGGCTAGTGGCCTCCATATTGAACAACACAGGTAAGAAAAACTAAGAGAAGACCATTATGGCTAACACATAGTAATTTAAAGGGAAGTGTAGAAAGATGAAAAGTCAATGGATGCCCCATCATTAAGGGTCCTACAAGAAAGAAATATGGAATCTATTTGGAGTACAATTGGAAGTCACGAGGGTTTTAAACATGCAAAGAAAAATCTGATCTTTTCTGTTTTACAAAAAGAGTACTCTGGGACACCTGGGTGGCTCAGTCGGTTAAGCGTCTGCCTTCAGCTCAGGTCATGATCCCAGGGTCCTGGATTGAGTCCTGCATCGGGCTCCTTGCTCAGCAGGGAGTTTGCTTCTCCCTCTGCCTGCCACTCCCCCTGCATGAGTGCTCTCTCTCATTCGCTCTCTTTCTCTGACTGAAATGAAATGAAATAATGAAATGAAATGAAATGAAATAATGAAATGAAATGAAATGAAATAATGAAATGAAATGAAATGAAATAATGAAATGAAATGAAATGAAATCATGAAATGAAATGAAATGAAATAATGAAATGAAATAATGAAATGAAATAATGAAATGAAATGAAATGAAATAAAATAAAATAAAATAGTACTCTTCTCTTTAAACAAATTACAGAGAATAAAAGCAGAGGTAGGGAGACTAGGCAGAAGACTTATAGAAGTCTAGGTGAGAAATAGGCAGAAGACTTACAGAAGTCTAGGTGAGAAATAATTAAGGTTTAGGGTATTGTGGGGGCAGGAGAGAAAAAGAAAATAGATGCATGCAAGATATTATGAAAGTCAAAACAAGGGGCGCCTGGGTGGCTCAGTCGTTAAGCGTCTGCCTTCGGCTCAGGTCATGATCCCAGGGTCCTGGGATCGAGCCCCACATCGGGCTCCCTGCTTGGCGGGGAGTCTGCTTCTCCTTCTCCCTCTGCCTGTCGCTCCCCCCGCTTGTGCTCTGTCAGAATAAATAAATAAATAAAATCTTAAAAAAAAAAAGTCAAAACTAATTAACTTTTTGATTAAGTGAATGTAGAGAATGAGGGAGAAAGAAAAATCATGAGTGTAATCTACTCTGACTTGAGCAACCAGTCGTGCCATTTCTGTGACTGGAGGAACTAGCATTCTGTTGTTATCTGGCAGGGGATGCTGGAGTTGATGGAACGGAATCAAGAATTTTTCCAAATAGAAAAGGAGTTCAGGGGCGCCTGGGTGGCTCAGTCGTTAAGCGTCTGCCTTCAGCTCAGGTCATGGTCCCGGGGTCCCTGCTCCCTGCTCCGCAGGAGGCCTGCTTCTCCCTCTCCCACTCCCCCTGCTTGTGTTCCCTCTCTCATGTGTCTGTCAAATAAATAAATTAAATCTTTAAAAAAATAAAAGAAAATAAATAAAAGAAAAAAGAAAAAGAAAATGAGTTCAGAGAGGCTCACACTTACTAATAAATACTAAAAGTAAGACTCAAACCCAGATATTCTAAAATTAGATATAATACCCTCTTGCTGGTAATATATTATCTTTCCATAATTCAAAAACAAAAATAATCCATTAGGATATGGGTAAGTAATGCCTCCTGTACATACACCAGTGAAGTTCTCAATTACAAGGGTTATAGGTCTTTTATAATTCTTTCATATTTTGAAAAATGAAAAGAAAAAACTTAGATTTAGTTAATATCCCTAGGAATCTAAAATTAAAATCTACAGATAACATTTTCTAACCCAAGCTCCAAAGAACAACAGCAAAGTAGAAGTCAAATATCAGAGTGCCTGGGTGCCTCGGTTAAGGGACCGACTCTTGATTTCTGCTCAGATCGTGATCTTAGGATTGTGATAATGGGCTGTACATGGGGCTCTGCATGGAGCCTGCTTAAGATTCTCTCTCCTTCTCCCTCTGTCCCTCCCTCACCCTCTCTCTCCCTCTCTTTAAAAAAAAAAAAAAAAGCAGCCAAATATCATGACTTCAAAATCAGTGCCAAACTCCTACAGCCAAAGTAGCAGTAGTAATTCGGAAGTTGACCATAACTACTCTTCAGAAGAAACAAGGTGGTCTTTACATGCTATCTGACAATGACTCAAAAATCTGGCTACCTCAGCTTCAGGGATTTAATATTCCCTCTAAGTTCTTTACTTCCAATACAACTCTATCAATTTCACTCAACAAATACTTAGTAAGGGTAAGTACAGGGGCAGGCATTGAGTGGGATGATGAGTAAGACACACAGTTCCTTCCTGTCCTATCCTCAAGTACCTCATCACTAATGGAGTGTGAGGAGACAAACATGGAAACAATTACAATACAATATGACAAATGCCACAAAAAAGGATATACAGTTGACCCTTGAGCAACACAGGGATTAGGGGGTGCCAAGCCTCCCACTCCCTGTGCAGGCAAAAATCCACTTACAATTGACCCTTTAACAACTCAGATCTGTGGGTGCACTTTATACACATTTACAATACAGTACAATATATGTATTTTCTCTTATGACTTTCTTAATCACATCTTTTATCCAGCTTATGTTACGTAGTATATAATATATATAACATATAAAATATGTTAATCAACTGTTTATGTTAACGGTAAGGCTTCCTCCAGTCAACAGTAGGCTATCAGTAGTTAAGTTTTTGGGGAGTCAAAAGTAACACATGGATTTTCAACAGTGCAGGGGTTCCGCACTCCGTAGCCCCCATGTTGTTGAAGGGTCAACTATACTGTCATTCTTTCTGGTCACCCAACATCTGAATCCCCATTAGTGTTCTGGGATTTCCCACCTAAGTCTACAAAGTACCATATACTCATTCTCCTGGTCTCCCTTGAAAATAATTCACAAGGATGGAAACTAAGGTTCCCACATCTACCTATTTATTTCTCTTTCTTTCATCTGTTACCCTCAAATCTAGTAGCTTAATACACCAAATATTTATTATCTCACAGTTTCTGCGTGTCAGGAATTAAGCTATAGTTTAACTGAGTGATCCTACTCAGGATCTATCATAAAGTTGCAGACAAGATCTTGGCCAGTGCTATCATCTTTGAAGGTTTGACTGGGGCTGGAAGATCTGCTTCAAGATGTCTCCTGCACATGGTTATTGGCAGAAGGCTTCAGTTCCTCACATGAGAACCTCTCTAGAAAGCTGATGAGTATCCTCACAATGTGGCAGCTGGCTTCCCCCAGAACAAATGAGCAAAACAGAAGATGTAATAACTTATACGACCTTGCATCGTAAGTCACACACTTTCATTTTTGCAATAACCTAATTATTCCATAAGTCAGTTCTATTTAGTGTGGAAGGAAACTATATAGAATGTAAATCAGGAGGTGGGGTTATCAGGAACCATGCTAACTACCCTACATAACATATTATGGCTGTATGTTGTATTGTTTATAAATACATACATATTCATGAGTGTAAAAATGTTATGTTTGGAAGGAGAGGGAGCACTATGGTTACAAGTGCATTTGTAATGTTTTATTTGTTCAGGTGGGTGGTGGGAATATAGGCATTTATTACACTTTTCTTTATACCTTCTGAGTTAGAAATATTTCATTATGAAAAAATCAATGCTCTGCATAAAGTGAGTATTTTCAAACACATTATTGTGAGCACATATATTAGTAGAGCTGTTTTGAAGGACTATTTGGAAATATATATAACAAAACTTACATATACATAAGCTGACTCAGGAATCTGTCTGAAAGAATTATTTGCCCAAATAAACAAGGACGTATGTACTAAAATTAATCACAGAACTATTTCTAACAGCAAACAACTAGTGATAACCCCAATGCCCATCAAAGAATGAGCAAATAAGTTATGACACCACTATACAACAGAATGCAGCCATTAAAAAAAATGAAATTCCCACTATGATGGAACCAATCAGTTTTTGGTGAAGAATAGGATATGCAGTATTCCATTTTTTGATGGGCTATATATCCAACTATTTACAACTACCTCAAGAGAGTGAAAGTTTAGCAAGGGAAATAAAAGCAGAGAGAGAAAACTTTCTTTTTGTGCTTTAAAGACCTCCATTCTCAAAAATTTTTACTATCCTCTATAGGCATACCTCAGAGATATTGTGGGTTCAGTTCCAGACCACTGCAATAAAGTGAATGCTGCAATAAAGAGTCAAATAAATTTTTTGGTTTCCCAGTGCTTATAAAAGTTGTTTACACTATAATTGTAGTCTATTAAGTGTGTAAAAGCATGTCTGAGAAAACAATGCATATACCTAATTAAAAAATATTTTATTGCCAAAAAATGCTCACCATCATCTGAACTTTAGGCGAGTTGTAATCACTGATCACAGATCACCATGACAAATATAATGAAAAGGTTTGAAATACTGTGACAATCACCAAAATGTGACAGATACACGAAGTAATAAGCAAATGTTATTGGAAAAATGGTGCCAATAGACTTGCTTAGCCAGGGTTACCACAAACCTTCAATTTGTAAAAAACAGTACCTGCAAGCACAATGAAGTAAAGCACAATAAAATGAGGCATGCCTATACTATTATAATTTCTGTGGTCGTTTTGGTTTTGTGTTAAATAGACTTTATTTTTTAGAATACTTTTAGGTTCACAGCAAAACTGAGCAGAAGGTACAGAGATTTCCCAAATACCCCCTTGCACTTACACATACATAGCCTCCAATACCAACATATCCCACCAGATAGAATATTTGCTACCACTGATGAAACTAATGACACACCATTATCACCCAAAGTCCATCACTTACATTAGGGTACACTCTTGGCGTTCTACATTCTATAGTTTTGGGGAAATGTGTAATGACAAGTATTCATCATCATAATACCATACAGAGTAGATGCACTGCCCTAAAAATCCTTCTGTGCTCTGCCTCTCCTCCCCTCAACTCCTGGCAACCACTGATCTTTTCACTGTCTCCATAGTTTCGCCTTTTTCAGAATGTCATATAAATGGAATCACCTTGTGTCTAACCTTTCCAGACTGGCTTCTTTCACTTAGAAATAAGCATTTAATGGGAGCCTGGGTGGCTCAGTTAAGTGTCTGACTCCTGATCTCAGGGCTGTGAGTTCAAACCCTGTACTGGGCTCCACACTGGGTGGAGCCTACTAAAAAAAAAAAAAAAAAAAAAAAAAAAAAAAAGGAAAGGAAGGAATGGGGAATTTAAGTATCCTCCCATGTCTTTTTATGGCTTGATGGCTCACTCTGTCTTAGCACTGAATATTATTCCACTGTCTTGATGTACCAATTTCTTTATCCATTCAACTACTGAAAGATATCTTGGTTGAGTTCAAGTTTTAGCAATTAGGAATAAAGCAGGTTTTTGTGTGGACATAAGTTTTTCAAATTTAGGTAGGTAAGTACCAAGAAGCATGACTTCTAAATTGCATTCATATAAACTTCTGAATTTAGTTTATAAGAAATTGCCAAACTGTATTCCAAACTGAGTGTAGCATTTTGCATTCCCACCAATAATGAATGAGAGCTCCTGTGGCTCTACATCCTCACCAGCATTTGGTGTTTTCAGTGTTCTGGATTTTGGCCATTCATTCCACTAGGAGTGTAGTGGTATCTCATCATTGTTTTAATCTGCATTTCCCTTATGACACATTATGTGGAGCATCTTTTCATGTGCTTATTTGCCATCTGCAGATCTTATTTAGTGAGGTATCTGTTAAGATCTTTGGTCTGTTTTTAAATCATGTTGTGTTCTCAATGTTGAGTTTTAAAAGTTCTCTGAATATTGTGGATAACAGTATGCTATCAGATACGTCTTCTGAAAATATTTTCTCCCAGTCTGTAGCTTGGGAGACATTTTTAATTTTAATGAAGTCCAGGTATCAATTCTTTTATGGATCACGTCTTTGATGTTGCATCTAATAAGTCATCACCAACCCAAGGTCACCTAGATTTTCTACTGTTATCTCCTAGGAGTTTTATAGTTTTGCATTTTACATTTTTGTGTTGGATCCATTTTGAATTAATTTTTGTGAAGGATGTAAAGTCTATACCTAGATTCATTTTTGTGCATGCGGAAGCCTAATTGCTCCAGCACCATTTGTTGAAAAGATAGTCTTTTATGCATTGTATTGCCTTTGCTCCTTTGTTGAAAATCAGTTGACTATATTTATATGGGTCTATTTCTGGGCTTTCTACTCTGTTCCATTGATCCATTTGTCTATTCTTTCACCAATATCCTATTGTCTTTATTACTGTAGCTTAAGAATATATCTTGAAGTCAAGTAGCATCAGTCTTCCACCTTTCTTCTTCTCCTTCAAAACTGTTGACTATTCTGGGTCTTTTGCATCTCCGTATTAATTTTAGAATCAGTTTGTCAATAGCCACAAAATAATTTGCTGGGATTTTGACTGGAATTGTACTGAATCTACAATAGTTGGGAAGAACTGACTTTTTTATATATTGAGTATTCCTATCTATAAACATGGAATAATTCTCCATTTATTTAGTAGTTCTTTGATTTCATTCACCAGAGTTTTATAGTTTTCCTCACACAGAACTTGTACCTATTTCATTAGATTTATGTCAGACCTCAAACAGATTTCATTAGATTTATATATAAGTATTTCATTTTTTGAGATGTTACTTTAAGTGGTATTGTGTTTTTAATTTCAAATCCCACTTGTTCATTCCTATATACATAAGAAATCAGTTGACTTTGTGTGTTAACATTTTTTCTTTAACTCTACAGTCCCTGACTTACAATGGCTTGATTTACAATTTTTCAACTTTCTGACGGTGTGAAAGTGATACACATTCAGTAGAAACTGTATTTTGAATTCTACATTTTGATCTTTTCCCAGGCTACCAACATGTGGTACAAATGCTCTTGTGAAGCTGGGCAGAGGCAGTGAGCCACAGCTGCCCGTCATACGCACATAAGAAACAACAACTGATTAACTTAAAACCATTCAGTACCCATACAACTATTCTGTTTTTCACTTTCACTGCAGGATTCAATAAACTACATGAAATCTTCAACACTTTATTATAAAATAGGCTTTGTGTCATTATGCATATGTAAAATCTTCTGCAGTTGTCCCACAGTTACTGAATATTCTGTTCCATTCTTCCATCTTTTTTCTTTCCTTTCCAGTTTTAGCAGTTTCTATTGATATCCTCACGCTCAGAGATTCTTTCCTCAGCCATCAGTAGTCCAGTCTACTAATAAGCCCACCAAATGGTTACCATGTGTTTTCTGTTACAATACTACAATGTCTTTGATCTCTAGCATTTCTTTTTGGTGCTTTCTTAGAATTTCGATCTCTCTTCTAACATTGCCCATCTTTTCTTATATGCTGTCTACTTTATCCATTTAGAGCCCTTAGCATTTTCATCATAGTTATTTTAAATTATTTCTTGGTGTGATAATTCCAATATCCCTACCATATCTAAGTCTAGATCTGATGTTTGCTCTAGCTCTTCAAACTGTGCTTTTTGTCTTTTAGTATGTCTTATAATTTTTCTTGATAATTGGATATGATGTACTAGGTAAAAAGAACTGTTGTAAATTGGCTTTCATTAATGTGGTGGTAAGATGTAGGGGGAAGAGAAAATACATTAAAATTAAAACCTGTTCTGACCAAAGAGAAGGACAAATCTATAGATATCCAAGCTCTTCCACCTACATCTTATTTTTTAAATTATTTATACTGCTAGTCTGAAATTGATTATTTCAAGCATCTCAAGTTTCACTGTAAGTTCCATAAGAATCCATAAATTCACAGAGAAACTGGGAGGTAGGTGAATGAGAGGATATTGTATTTCTGGGATCATTACTTAAACTACAACCCTGTTCATACAGGATTACAAATTCCAGAACTCACCAACTTCTAGCACCATCCTTTTTTAGTAGGTTTTTGTATAAGTGCTTGTAATGCCAAATGGATCCAGGGAGGTCTTTTCTTATTTGCTTCCAAAATAAACAGCAATGTATCCAACTTAGAAGTACATTCTAAAATGTTTGCTCAAATTTCAAAATAGTCTATGTCAATGTAAACATAAAAAATCATCAACTTTTACCTGTATACATTGTTACTTCTCTTCATTCTTCAAAGTTCTGGAGATTCTGAGCCCATGAAAAACTTGATATTCAACTGAATAAATGTGTGAAAAGAAAAAAAAAATTATTTATACTCAACCTTGTTCCAGTAGGATTTAAGGCTGGTACAAATGTAATATACATCTTCAATCTTTTAAGCAGGTTATAAGAAAGTATTGTTCCAGGGGCTCAGTCAGGTAAGTGTCCGACTCTCGATTTCGGCTCAGGTCATGATTTAGGGGTCCTCAGATCAAGCCCTGTGTCGAGCTCCATGCTCAGTGCAGAGTTTGCTTGGGATTCTCTCTCCCCTTCCCTCTGCCCCCCCCCCCCCCTGCTTGCGTTTTCTCTCTCTCTCTCTCAAATAAATATATTTTTTTAAAGATTTTATTTATTTATTTGACAGAGAGAGAGAGACAGTGAGAGAGGGAACACAAGCAGGGGGAGTGGGAGAGGGAGAAGCAGGCTCCCCGCTGAGCAAGGAGCCCGATGTGGGACTCAATCCCAGGACCCTAGGATCATGATCTGAACCGAAGGCAGATACTTAACCAACTGAGCCACCCAGGCATCCCTAAAATAAAATCTTTTTTTTTTTTTAATTTATTTATTTGACAGAGAGAGACACAGTGAGAGAGGGAACACAAGAAGGCGGAGTGGGAGAAGGAGAAGCAGGCTCTCTGCAGAGCAGGGAGCCGGATGTGGGGCTTGATCCCAAGACCCCAGGATCATGACCCGAGCCGAAGGCAGACGCTTAACACTGAGCCACCCAGGCGCCCCCTAAAATAAAATCTTTAAAAAAATAAAAATCAGGGGTGCCTGGGTGGCTCAGTCGTTAGGCATCTGCCTTTGGCTCAGGTCATGGTCCCAGGGTCCTGGGATCAAGCCCCACGTCAGGCTCTCTGCTCGGCAGGAAGCCTGCTTCTCCCTCTCCCACTGCCCCCGCTTGTGTCCCCTCTCTTGCTGTGTCTCTGTCAGATAAATAAAATCTTTAAAAATAAATAAATAAATAAAAATCAGATCATGTCATAAAAAAAAGTATTTTTCCAACTCCTTAAGCAGGGAAATAAATATTATAAATAGCAATATCTTGCACATTTTGAATATTATCAATAAATATAGGGCATAGATTTTAAAACACAGCTTGTAAATATCCACAAAGAGTATCAAACTATGTCCTTCATTTATGTAAGTTAACAGATGTCAAAGAGAGATGGAAGAAGGGAAGATACAGAGCACTGGCTTCAACAGGAATCAAAAAATAGAGCAGATATTACACTGAAAGGGAAAAAAACAGGAAATAAGAGCAACATTGCTGACAAGTATCCTTCCTTTAAATGTGTACATGACAAATTTCCAAGTTAATTTATGTTCTGTAGGCATACAGTGCATTTCCATCTCTCTCTAATCCCTCCTACCTCTAGAGCTAAATTTCAAAAAAGCGAAATTTGTATACAATGATATACTACTTACTACTGTTGCCACCACCATCATCTACTATATACTTTACTATGTACCAAGCACTGTCACAAGATTTACATCCATTATCTTATTCAATCCTCACAATAACCCTAATATAGGTTTTACTGATGTTTGTGGTGGTTAAACAACTTGTCCAAGATCCATTAGCTAATAAATGATGGAGCCAGGATACTAACCATTTGGCCCCAAAACAAAAACATCTTGACAAGTGTAAATCACCGAGCTAAACCTAACTGTAGAACATAAAAGTAAAAAAATAGTATATCTGAACATGTCATGAGCCTGAGGATTTTGACAGAACAGGGCCTGCCCAAAACCAATCTGATTACCAATTTAACAAGTTAACTAAAATACTGAGATGGAAATTATATTTGAAAATGAAATTGTCAACATATCACATGAAAATTCCTACCTCCTTTGTAAATAGCCTATTACAGACTGTATGTAATCTTTTTTTAATCCATGTAATACTAGAGTGAAAAGTCTCAAACTATCAATAAAAACCTCTTTTATAATTTTTTATATTAACTGGACAGATCTGCATGACAGATCTGAAGAAACATTTGTCATTTTCCTGACTTTAACATTATCCACAAAAGGAAACCTTCCCACTTTGTAAACTACAGCAATAGTTTCTAAAGAAAAAAGAAGAAAATGAACAGAGAATAGAAACTAATGGCCACCGCATCATAATTCCATGCCTACGTTGCAGGAAAATGGAATTTTACCAAGGCTACCAACTCCAACTAACCTGTTTACCAGACTTAAGTTTTTTTTTCAAAAAATCTTCTAAATATAAAATGTCAGTTTGTTGCTAATGTTTTATATTTAATGCTCCAATAATACGAGTTTATGATTTAATAGTTGCAAATCTGTATTTATAGTCACTGTTAAAGGACTTTACTAAAGGGCACCACGTGCACTGCTCTCTAGTTAACTAAATTCACTTAATTCTACTGGACTGAGACAGCTCAGAAATACCTTAAGCTACATATAAAGTTACCACACACACACACACACACACACACACACGCACGCACATTCCTCCAGCCCACTCCGAACATCTGTGTATTGCTGATACAGGTTATGTGATTGGAACACTTCAAGTGAATGAAGTACTATTCAGTTCTAGCATTTTAAATATTTAAAGTATCTGAAACTGTACTAGATATAACATGCAATTACCCTGAGGAATTAGCATTCACTAGCGCTTAAAACCTAAGAGCTATACAAGTTCAATTATACTCAAAAATTTAATGAAATATTTTAACTGGCCACTTCAACTATTACCCAGTATTAAAATATTTTTCATGTTTAATTACAGGTTACACTTATTTCTTAAGAAATAGTGCCCCTTTAAACCATCTTGATCAAATAACAAAAATTACCATGAGCTATGGATCTGAATTAAGTTTTGTTCATGCTAAAAAAATGAAGTCTTATTTAATGCTATACACTTCAGCAACAAATCCATAAAAGATATTACACAAACCTAGAATCTCTCCTGCTACTATGCCAACCTAAACCATCCAAAGAACAAGATAATATTTTTAAGCACACACAATACATCAAATAACTATCATTGGGTAGATATTATCATTTATCACACTAACATATGAGAAAATTATCTTATAGGTAGTTTTAGTAATCCACTTAGCTATTTTGGTAATTCAAAACTGAATACAAAACTGAAACTCATCTTGCTATCAGACAGATCTTCCTTATGTATTACCTTCCATATAAATTCCATTTGTCCTTCCTGCATTTTTTCATCTTCTTTTAATAACATCATAATCACAAAATAACAGCTGCTATTTATACTGAACATAAAACCCACGCCAGCTACTGCTCCAAGTTCTTTACATCTATTATTTGCATTCCTCATCACCATGCACAGTAAATATGAACACACATTTTCTGGTAAAGAAACAGACCCAGAGAGGTTAAGTAACAATGAAAATGACAAGGCAAAATGCTTGTTCTACTACATCATGCCACATTTTTTTTTTCCAGCCATCAATTCTTATAATGAAATTATTTATACAGAATTTTACTAGATTCTCAACAAAAACTAAGGTTGTTTTCCTTCACAGAAGGGGAAATTATTATTCTGTAAAATATTTTATTGTATTACCATATTACTGATGTAATTTCCCCAAAAACACTTTTGTATTAAGACTGGGAGGAGAGAATGCTGTCTAAAGTACACTGAGTAAGGGGCGCGTGGGTGGCTCAGTCGGTTGAGCGTCTGCCTTTGGCTCAGGTCATGATCCCAGGGTCCTGGGATTGAGCCCCACGTCGGGCTCCCTGCTCAGTGGGAAGCCTGCTTCTCCCTCTCCCACTCCCCCTGCTTGTGTTCCTGCTCTCACTATCTCTTTCCCTGTCAAATAAATAAATAAAAGCTTTAAAAAAAAAAATAAAGTACACTGAGTAAGAGTACTAGCTAACTAAAATTTGATCCTTTGAGCTGCACCTAAAATTGCTGTAGCTGAGGTGCTGAAGTTCACGGGTAAGAAACTAAGTCTGTTCCCTGACCTCAACCTTCCATTGTTACAAACACAAAACTATAAAAAAAAAAAAAAAAAAAAAGGGATATATCCGCATACACAATTTTTTCCTGGCAGCAGCAAGAGTATGTACTAAAATACCAGTTTCCCTATGTTTCAATCTAGTCTGAAAAAAGCACAAATTCAGAACAAGTACCTCCTAAAATATATCATATATTACATGAATTTTTTATTTAGTATACAAAATATATCAAGCATTATGTCAAGAAGTATGTTAATGGGTGGCTCAGTTGGTTGCTCAGTCAATTAAGTGTCCAACTCTTTATTTCAGCTCAGATCATGGTCTCAGAGTTGTGAGGTTGAGCCCTGTGTGGGTTCCACACTGGGCGTGGAATCTGCTTAATATTCCCTCTCTCTCTGCCTCTCCCCCCACCTGCTTATGTGCTCTCTCACCCTCTCTCTTAAAAAAAAAAAAGTATATTAAGTGCTGTCACTCCATACCCAATGTGAAATAAAAATGGGGTGCCTGGGTGGCTCAGTTGGTTGAGCGACTGCCTTCGGCTCAGGTCATGATCCTGGAGTCCCGGGATCGAGTCCCGCATCGGGCTCCCTGCTCGGCGGGGAGTCTGCTTCTCCCTCTGACCCTCCCCCCTCTCATGTTCTCTCTATCTCATTCTCTCTCTCAAATAAATAAATAAAATCTTTAAAAAAAAAAAAACTGGATAGAAGAATACATATGAAAAATCAGGAAATTCTGGCACAATGGTAAGTATCAATGAAATAATTTTTTAAAAGGTCCTCAGCATCTCAGCAAGGTAAAAGTACCAGGTTCTATTTACAAGATACATGTGGCCTCCACAAATTACTTAAGCTCCTCAAAAGTTATTTAAGCTCTTTTTCCTTGTCAGGAACTTGAAAAAAGGTTGAAGTGAATGTTATCTCCAATGCTTTCCTGTTGTAACATTCTAGAGTCAAAAGAGAAAATTGATACAAGATTATTTAAGCAGATTTTTTTAAAAGATTTTATTTATTTATTTGAGAGAGAGAATGAGATAGAGAGAGAGAGCATGAG